AAGCATTCTAGTGTTCTTAGGATGTATTTGTAACATAGATTTTTCTGTGAGACACAACAGGACACTCGAAAATCTCTACCCTGGACTCGAGATTGCCATATCTTTTGTTTCGAACGTATGATCTTCTGATGGTCGTCATGAAGCAGTTTCTTTGGTGATGTTTTCAGAAAAGTTTTGACACAGGCGGACTAAGCTCACGTCTCGAGAAAAAGCAAACGATTAACTCGTGAAAGCGTCACGCGTTGTCTGACTCGATGTTAAGTTATGAGAGAAACCGTTGAGAATTTAAACAAGTTATAAGAAATGGTATCGAGAACGAAATAAGGTCGATTTACAACGATTAATATTTCGAAATATGAACATTCTACACATAAAATCAATAGAACTTACCAACATCTTGTGTGTTCGTTGTAGTTTCTGGCGATCTCTGCCGTTTCAAGCTCGTTTTGCCAACACCGTTAATGTTATTCCTGTAATAAGACGAAGAGAAGGCTGTACACTCCGATTTCGACCGTTATCCACGCGGAGGTGGTTTGCGCCCCTAAAATCCTCGCGATCGGCATTTTTCTTAGCCATAGTATACGATCTAAGATCATTGGACCCTGGGACATGCCTCAATACCAAACTCTAGGCGTATTTCGCTGAAAACGAGCGTTTTCTACCTGCAATTCGCTACTCTTTAGCCATAATCTTGATGACCAAACTGGACATGGCTGCCAAAGACTTGGGTACGAGGTTAATTTTCTCTCTACCATGAGTGGCACGGTAGATTAATATACAGTACTTATTCCATCCCCACAGCGACACCTCGCCTTAATCTATTGTCCCGATCAACCAACCAGACAGCGAGGTGAAAATAAACAGATAAACAACAGTTTAAAATAAAAACTTTTTGCGGGGTTTGCTGTGAGCAGATGAGCCTGGAGGCCAGAAGCAAAGGTTCAAGATATTCCTCTGGAGAAACTTATGTGAGATCAGAAATGGCATCGAATAACCCTGGTTTCTTTGGTTTTATTTTGTGAAATCGGCAGCAATATTTTGTGTGTATTTTTGGATTTTTTTCTTGTTGTAACTTACGTTTATGTTTACAGCTAATCTTATCGGTGGAGATTTCGCTCCACCAAAAAGACCTAACTTTGGAACAGTGGGAAAAACGATCGCTCTCAGGACAAATTTTTTTCAACTTCGCCTTCCCAAAGGAGACATACATCATTACGATCTTAGTATATCTCCCGATAAGTGTCCAAGGCGCGTGAACCGAAATGTTGTCGAGACGATGGTAAACACATATCACAAAGTTTTTGGAGGACAAAGGCCTGTTTTCGATGGAAGAAAAAACCTCTATAGCAGTAAAGCTTTGCCGATCGGACGAAAACCAGTAAGTGTGAACTATAGAAACATGCAACTATTTTGCCATGCATGTGATCGTAAGATCTAAATTTATATTGTTTTCAATCATCTTTACCTTGTCTTCTTGCATTGTCTAGGGAAAGTGCTAATTAATACCTCTCCTCTTCGATGGAACTTATTTTTCCAGGTCAAAATTCTTTGTACGATGTCGTGATTTTAAATTTAACCTTTACAATTTTGCGACACTTTAGTGAATGCGAGTCGTTCAACTAATTTGATTGTAGATCTACAGGCGGCCCAAGCTCCAGTTGTGTGATGATCATCTTGCGAAATAAGAGTCATGGCGAATACAAGATTTTGTGTGGGAATATTTGCGACCGCTCTAAGGAATAAAATAAGCAGTCCCCCCCCCCCCAAATTCTCCAAAAAAATACCGCACCTACTTTCACAGTGCATCGCCTTTTATCTGACCACTTACTATGTTGAAAAGAACCCATTCTGGCGAATTATCCATTTCTAGGTTACTACATACATAAGTGAAGCCCAAGGCTGCACACTCCATTTCCGAACACCCAATCCGAGAAGCAAATAATCTAAGCTCAAAATTACCAGATGGCCACAAATCCAATGAAGAATCCAAGCACATATACTCTGGTTTTGGTTTCCCCGTGAAACCAACACTAAGCTGCAGTTTGGTTAAAAATTTTCCAGTTTAGACATTTCTAACAGCCCCCATACACATTCACCCTGACAAACAACCATTCAAAACTAGCTCAGTAACCCTGCCAACTTGGCACCTGTGGTTCTAAAACAGTTTTTTGATTCCATTAATAATTGCAATAAGTGAAGTAGTTCTTTAAGAAACAGCCCCTGCTCTAATTGCAAGTAGGGAACCTAGCCCCTGTTGTGGTAGTCAGGCCTTTGTTTGGAAGTTAGGGGCATCTGCAAAGATTTCCTTCAGTAAATTATTACTGGTTTGATGGAGTTGGCCGAAGTCTTCCAGAAAGCATTGTAAAGTGGAATAAGCTGCTGGATATGGTGTTATAGAAATTGTTCAGTAGTTGTAGTATTTTCATTACTAAAATGATGAATTTAGGGAGTGTTGCTCTGCCTCAACTTTTTTAATTTAAGATACTGAAAATTTCAGATTGATTTTGAAGTAACACTTCCAACTGAGAACAGTAAAGACAAGGTATTTAAGGTAAGTAAAGAGTCTGGTCTTGGAATTCATGTGAGAGTAGCTTTGATAATTTTGCTTAGCAACAACTTCTTTCACCTTGCTTTACATCATAATCAGAACTTTACAGTACTATTAAAAATCACACTTTATTATGTTCATTTTTCCCACCAGGTGTCATAAAAATTTATTTGTCAAACAATTAGTTACATAGCTATTAGAAAATAACAGATTTTTGTACAGGTTATACTGGCATTCAGCAGCCAATCCTCTGGTACTCCTCTTTTTGTGTAGGTTTCTGCTATCGTAGAGAGAAATGTCTGGTTAAACTCTTTTTCTCCCAGAAGTGACCAACAAGTTGTTTCTCTTTAAAAGATCTATACATTGTCAAGCAAACCAATAGTGAGAATAAAGGAAAATATTAAATTAGAGATATTGTTCTCAAGTAAGATTATTTACAAAATTCTCAGAAGTACATGTAACAGTGAGTTTAGGTTTAAAAAGCTTAAATTGTATTTTAACCCTTTAAGTCCCACCAGTGACCTAGACATAATTTCTATTTACATTATCAGTACGATATCAGGCAGACATGTAATGAGAATAAAGAAAAATATCACATTCAAAAGCTACAAATCACTGATATCCCTGAATGCACTTATTATCTTTGCTGCTTATATATTTCTAGCATGGTGATTTACGCCTGGATACTTCTAACAGTATTTTGTTAAAGTACACTTGCTTTATAAGAAATAATGGTTATGAGATTTTGGTAATTGAGGATTTACAGTTGTCATACAAGAAGCTAAGAATGTGGAGGAGTTGCACATGTTAAAGGTGCCTGTCAGCAGATAAACAGTTTTGTGTACTGTACACAGGTTCAAGGTCTGGTCTTATATTGTAGACACAAACAGCTCCTTTCTATTCTACTACGCTACAGTATGTTGTGATTTTGATTTAGGTGACTGTTAAATGGGTCGCACAAGTCAGCTTATTTGCACTGGAACAAGCATTAGAAGGAAAACACAATCAAATCCCTTTTGAGACCATCCAGGCTCTTGATGTGGTGTTGAGACATTTGCCATCCATGAAGTATATACCTGTTGGAAGATCTTTCTTCTCGCAGCCAGAAGGCTATTACCATCCCCTAGAGAGTGGGCGTGAAGTTTGGTTTGGCTTTCATCAGAGTGTCCGACCATCGCAGTGGAAGATGATGCTGAACATTGATGGTTAGTGTAAAAACGACTACTTTACTATAGAATTGTTTAAGTGTATCATATCAGGGTGTGAAATTAATTTTTTTCTCTAATAGCCACTTGGCTCCTAAATTCTTCAAAGTGGTAGCCAATTAAAAAAAAGTTGGTCACCATTTTCAAAGACAAACAAAACGTTTTTTTAGGCAGTCATTTATCTAGAATTAAGTTAGGGAAAAGATCTTTAACATACTACAAAGTGGACACTAGAATGCATGAAATGCAACATTCAAACTCACCTAAATGCAAGATGATGTCTAGTTTTCGATCGAGATACATGTGCTGCGTTTTGGAAACAAATTTAACGAGGAAGTTTGCTGCGGATTTATCTTTGCAAATCTTTTTCATTCACTATATCTCTAGGTAAGGTTATGATGAAACATTCTAGTCGCCAATTTGGCTACTAATTTTCAGGATTTGGTCGCCAAAGTGAAAAATTTAGTCACATTGGTGCCTGTATTAGGTGCAATTTTACGCCCTTCATATACATACTGCTGATGTAGGACTGTATCTTGAAATCAAGGGAGAATTATACAAGGAAATTATACAGACGAATCTAGGACATGAAAATCATGTGTCTATAACACATGCTGTGTTCTCTACAATTCTTAGGGTGATGGCTAAGGAGAATTATTTTGTTTAACAATCAAGAGCTTCTTTAGTTGGTTATCATTTCTTTTATTCTTGGGACCTTAGTGTGCGATTCAGGGCTGATATTGTAAGGAGAAATTAGATGCTGGTCACTTTAAGGAGTCAAAGGGTTGAAGGGTAACATAAGCAGTAGCCTCCACTAACAGTAGAGTATAAATGTACCCAAAGATTTGTCTGAAGTTTTTGTTTATCAAGATAGATAGTTAACTAAAACTCTGACAATGTTACTGAGAAATTTTATCTTTTGACTTGATCATAGTTTCAGCCACAGCATTCTATAAATGCCAGCCAGTTGTAGAGTTCATGTGTGAAGTCCTTCGCAGACAAGAACAGGATCTTCAAAAGACGAAACCATTGTCTGATGCAGAAAGACTGAAATTCACCCGAGAGATAAAAGGTATGGAGCCACTTATTGCATGCATATGAGTGGGTGTAGATTGGGAGAAATAATTGAAGAAGAGTTTCACTGTGCAATCATGCTCTTTTTTTGTGTTATTAATATTATTGAAAGTAATTTGGAAAAATATAGCTTATCTGCATGGTTGACATTGACAGATATTTAGCAGATTTTGTTGTAATTGTTGTTTTTTACTGTTATTATGCTACAATGAAGAAAATGCTTTTTTAAATGTACTTAATATGATTACATTATAGGTTCCAAATTTTAAAGGTAAATGTACTTGTAGCTCAACTAGATTTTTTTTATAGTTTAATCCAGTATATTCTAATCACAATCCCTAAATGTTATCTCTTGATAATACTGGAATGCCAACTTGTCTGGACAATTTTTTTAAAAATGTCTAGACACTTTAATTCATCATGTTGTTTCTTGGATGATTCAAATTGGTTTATA